GAATTAAAATATCTAATGCGAACGAGTGTAAGCAGTAATTAAGTTGTTGTTTTTAGTATGCAGGAATTATATCCAAACTGTGTGACTTTGAGATTGATCAATGGCGGAATTTTCCATGTACAGGACAATATATAAAATGATACCAGGTCCGTGTTAGAAAATTTATCGTACATACATACAAATTCCCAGGGAACCAACATGCTTGAATCAACGAGAATTATACATAAACATAAACACGGAAGCCTACCATACATCATGAAATCGAATCATCGATATCTCCACTGGATTTGGGACAGGTCTTCCAAAGAATCCGAAGTTGCTTAATTATCTCTCTAATCATGGATTTTAGAAGAGACGGAATGATTGCGTTTCTTTGGGGATCATGACCCTTTATATAACTGTAGAGTCCACATATATAACAACTGTGATTCATATATATCTATCTAGAGATAGTTCCCCGGGCGTAGGGTCGAATATATATATATATATATATATATATATATATATATATATATATATATATATATATATATATATATATATATATAAAAGTAAGGTTTTGCCTCGAAACCCTAATTCCAATTTTGTGAAATAATTATAACCCTAAGGTTATTTTCGGTAGATCATATATAAATACTATGGCTAACTTCTACGTGTTGAATTTTTTTGCCGTTTTCTTTAAGCACGTCTATGGCAGTTTTCTTATTTTTATTCCTTTTCCTGATTTTTTTGTACACGTTCATGTTAGTTTTATTTGTCTTTTCGGTTTTTTTTAACCCTATCCATCAACTACTAGAAAAACTTGGAGCACTCATAGACGATCCAAAGAAAAAAACTGAAGCACTTTCATCTCAACTCCATTTGAAATTATTATCCTATTTAAACGTACTCTATGGGTAGTCAGAAATTATTTTGTTTGTCAATTGCATTCTACGGATAAAGATGTTTTCAAATTTAATTTTCGGTTTATGAAAAATTTGAAAATCACTCGGTTTTAACATACAAAAATCTCATGCTTCTCTTTCTTCTCCATTTTCAGGTATTTCTCCTTCTCTTTTATAGCTTCATTATATTTTTACGCGAAGGTGGCACCACTGCCGTTTGCGGAGATTTCACTTCTGGAGTTCTTCATCTGTCGAGATTTCAAGGTTTTTTTTGTTTTTACTTTTTTCTTTCCTGAATACGTTGATAAGTTTAGTTCCAGATATTTGTTATGTTTAAGGTTTAAATGAGTCCAAAAAATCCACCAAAATATTTTAATGGCTGTTAATTATGATTATTTATTTAGGGATTTTATGCAACTTATATGTGTGTGTTATTTTTATGTTGTCTTTCCAATGAAGGTTTTAGGTCTGCATTTTTTGAGAAATGGCTG